CAGGCCACCCAGGGGAGAAGTGACTGAGACCTGGTGAAGGATAGGAAGGAGCTGCAAGAGATCTGGAGAGAAGAACATTCTGGGTAGAGGAGGCAGCCAGTGCAAAGGTCCTGGGGCAGAAGTGCATGTGGAGCCTCAGGGAGGCCAGGGTGGAGCGAGGGTCTGGGACAACCATTGGAGGTGAGGGTGGAGGTGAGGGCTGGTTGGGTGTGTGCAGAGCTTGTAGGGCCCTATGGGCCCCCATGAGGCTTTGCTTTTCCTCCCAGAGCAGCCAGGGAGGATCTGACTTAGGTGCCCTCTGCCGGCTGTGTGGGGAATAGACTCAGGGATACGGGCAAAAGCCTGGACCTCTGTGGAGTCCAGGTGGGAGATGACGTGGGAGATGACCCTGGTTTAGACCAGGGAGGGAGCAGAGTGGGTGGAGAGAGGCCAGGTTTGGGGGACAGTGTTGCCAAGGCCCTCGGCCTTCAGCCCTTGCCTTGGCCTTCCGCAGGCACCTGATGGCCTCATCTTCCCAGACCGAGCCACACTGTATGTGACAGCCATCGAGGACCGGCAGTACAAAGACTACAAGATCCACTGTGAGCCCACGCCCGGGGAGCTGTGGGCGGGGCCTCGGCCGGGCTGCTGCAGGCTCACCTCCCCCCTCCCGCCTCTCCAGGGTGGGAGAATGTGTACGGCTTTGACATGTCTTGCATCAAAGACGTGGCCATCAAGGAGCCGCTGGTGGACGTGGTGGACCCTAAGCAGCTGGTCACCAATGCCTGCCTCATAAAGGTGAGGGTGTGGGCGTGGCCAGGGGACCTCCAGGGCTGGAACCAAAGAAGGGCCATCCCCTCACCTCAGGGCCCAGAGTGTTGGAAATTGACCTGTCACCTAGAGGTGGCGCTAGAGGCCCAGAGCAGCCACTTTGTTCTTAAAAATCTTTTCGGGCCCTGCTTGGCTTTGGGCTCCGGGACGCTGCAGTGAGCAAGACGGGCCAGCCCTGCGCCAGGGTTGTCCTCTAGAAGGCGTGCCCGAAGCTGTCAGCCAAAGGTCCATACGGTGACAGCAAGCTGGGATGTGTGAGGTGGGCAGAGCCAGGTGGCAGGAGGGGTTGGCGTGGCGGAGGGGAGGATCGTGGGGTGAAGGGGAGAGGAGACAGGAAGGCGGGCACGGGCCCGGCCGGCCTCTGAGAGCACAGGGAGGCAGGGAGGGACTTAATCCGGGTTTGACAGGGTCTGCTTGCCACGATGGCTGATGTGTCAAGAAGGGCCGGGGCAAGGGGGAGCAGGGAGCCCTGTTAGAGCCGCCGCAGGTGCCAGGCGGTCTGGCCAGGCAGCGGGAGGGAGCCGGTGGGTCGTGGACAGAGTCAGGGTGGAGCTGCCGGGGCTGCGTTTGGGTGCAGGAGAGAAGGGAGCGAAGGATCCAACACAGCACCCCAGACTGGATGGCCGGGAGTGGGACAGGTGGGGTGAGAAATACATCGGGAGCTGGGGCCTAAGGCCAGCCGGGGAGGACCAGTGGGAAGGGGACAGCGTGGTCCCCGGCCGGAGGAGAGTGGGTTGCTGGGCCGGGCAAGCGAGCACGGGGGTAGCAGGGGAGAGAGGAGGGAGGTGAAGCTGGGGACGCTCCCAGGCGTGGCTCACGGGCCTGTCCCGCAGGAGGTGGACATCTACACCGTCAAGGTGGAAGACCTGACCTTCACTTCCCCCTTCTGTCTGCAAGTGAAGCGGAACGACTACGTGCACGCCCTGGTGGCCTACTTCAACATCGAGTTCACGCGCTGCCACAAGAGGACCGGCTTCTCCACCAGTGAGGCTGCGGGCGCAGCGCGGGCGGGCTGGGGTGCCACGGAGAGGAGAGGCTGCTGGGGTTCAGGGACGATGAGGGGGTAGTGACCGAAGCAGGGAGAGGGAGCCGAGGGACACACGTGTTTCCACACCAGCTCTGCCTTTTAACGGCCACGTGGCTTTGGGCCAGTGACCTGAGGGCGCTGTGCCTCGGTTTCCTCACCCGCGAGATGCTGCCACGGGCCCTGTCTCCGATGGAGCGGCCGGGCCCCGGGCGGGGGGAGCAGGTCTAGGCCTGGCTGAGCCGCGCCCGCCCGCAGGCCCCGAGTCCCCCTACACGCACTGGAAGCAGACGGTGTTCTACATGGAGGACTACCTGACAGTGAAGACGGGCGAGGAGATCTTCGGCACCATCGGCATGCGGCCGAACGCCAAGAACAACGTGAGGCCCTGGGCAGCTCGGGGGAGGGCCCTGGGTGGGCGCCTCTGCCTGTTCTGAGGTCCCCAAGCCCCTGAGCCCCACGCCTGCATACACAGCAGGATTTTATCGAGCATCTACTGGGGGCCAGGCCAGAGCCCTGCCTGCCTGATGCTAGCCTAGCAGAATGGTGACAGGGTGACAGGGTACGTGGCATTTGGAGGTGACCTGTGGAGCTGGGAGCAGGGCAGACAGGTGTCGGCGTGGGTGGGGGTGGGCTTCAGGGTGAGAGGCAGCCCCGGGTAGAGCTGACGGGACCTCTTGGCCCAGGGGTGGTGTGACAGGAAAGGAGGGGTTTGGTTTTGTTGTGTTTTTCCTTTTTCCTCCTAAGCACCTGGCCGGATGGAGCTGCTGTCACCTGATACAGGCGGTTCCGGGGAGATGCTGGGGCTGGGGTGGGCAGCAGGATGAAAGGCGCGGAGTTGGCGGGTGGTCTGGGCGTGAGGCTGGGTGCGCTCTGGGTGGCCATGGTGCATGGGCCCAGGGCGGTGGCCCAGGGTGGACCCACGGTCTGACCCAGGGAGATGAGAACCAGTTAAAACAGCACTTCTGAACCTGTGGTGATTTGGCTGCCCGCCCCAAGGCTGTTCGCCACTGTCTGGAGACAGTATGGTGTCACGCCTGGAGAAGGGGGCTCCGGGCATCTGGTGGGCAGAGGCCGAGGATGCTGGTAAACATCCCACAACCCCAGGACACCCCCAGGGAAGACTGACCCGGCCCACAGTGACAGTGGTGCCCAGGTAGAGAAGCCCCAAGTGAAAGACACCAGGAGAGAGAGGAGGAGTCATTGGGGCCATTGGTGACTTTGCGCTGGCCTTCCCATGCGCCACGTGCCAGGGGTGGGGGCTTCCGGGAAGCTTGGGAGGGGAGGAAGTGGAGACAGTGGGCTGGGACCACTGAACTCCGCTGCAAAGTCTTGGCGGAGGAGGAAGTGGGCTTGAGGGGTTTGCTTTTTTATAAAAGAAGGAAGAAATAACTGCTTTGCTAATGGGAATGGCCTTCATGGGGACTGTCATGCAGGAGACAGCAAGGAACAGCTGGGCTCTGCCCCCGGGGGCCAGTTTGGCTGGGGACCAAGTGGATTTGAAGATGCCCACATGCAGCTGTCACTTGAGTCAGGGTGCAGGGCAGATGTTGGGGGCGGGACCAGCAGTTGGGGTCGCCAGCGCAGAGGTGAGCAGAAAGGATCCAGCTGGGTCTTGGGGACAGTGCGTTGACACAGGGCCTGCAGCCCCTCTGCTGCCACCGCCTGCCTGCCCTGTGGAGGTCCTGGTCCTCATGCCCGTCCTCTCCCCACAGCGGGACCTGGACTTCACCATCGACCTGGATTTCAAGGGCCAGCTGTGCGAGCTGTCCTGCTCCACCGACTACCGGATGCGCTGAGGCGGCGCCGGCCGTCCAGGCCCGCCCTGCAGGGCCCAGGGGCTGCGGCGTTCGTAGGCGGTTTCGGGGCTCCCCCTTCCTCTCCCTCCCTCCTGCAGAAGGGGGTTTTAGGGGCCTGGGCTGGGGGGATGGGGGGGCACATCGTGGCTGTGTTTTTCATAACTTATGTTTTTATATGGACGCATTTACGCCAATAAATCCTCAGCTGGGACCCGGTTCCGCTTCTTGGGTGCAAAGTGGGGTTGGGGTTCCCTTTGCAGGGGCTGAGATGTGAGCCTGAGCAGCTGAGAGGACCAGACTTGGGTGCACGCCGGTGGCTGCAGTTCTGGGTCCCCCTTTCTCTGGGTCTCTCTGTCGTCCCACTGCACCCCGCCCCCCATTTCTAGGTCTCTCACGTTCCTTCCTTGGTCTCTTCCTGGGGTCTCTGCCGTCCAGTTCTCACTCAGGGTCTTTGTCCAAACTCTTCCCCTTATCCCTCTCCTGGGATGTGCCCCTCCCCTCTGAGATGCCTTGAGGCCCTGTGTCCTGCACCACTGGCTGCCCTGCCAGGCGGGTAGGGGTGGGGGTGGGGGTGGATTCCCAGCACAGCTGGGCCCTCAGGTTTCCCAGAAGACTGTCTCCCGCCTCCTCCCAACCCTCGCATTGTTCCTCTGCCTGGCTGTTTTTTCCTGTCCAGGACCCTCCAAGGCCAGCTGGCAATGAGTGGTGACCCAGCCCTCTGCAGCTGGGGAAACTGAGTCATGGAGGATGTCCCAGCCTCCTCTCCCAGCATAACCTAGAGGATGGGGACAGGGAGTTGCCCTCCATGGAGGCTGATGGGAGGTACAGCGTTGAGGCCTGCCCACTTTACAGATGAGGACTTGGAGGCCCTGCTAACCAGCCCCCCACTGCTCCCCATCCTGCCTGCTGCAGTCCTGGTGTCTGCCAGCGCTTGTGCATGGACACCCTGGCCCCCAGAACGCTGCACACGACCTGGTGACCCAGCACACCATCCATGTCTTTATGGGGCGCTGGCTACTGCTCTGGTACATCCCAAGCCCTTCGCCAGCCGCACCTCGCACCTGTCAACCTCTGCCTCCTTTTCCAGGATGGGACGGTGCTAGTGCCCAGTCTCCCTTTAACACCCCCCAGCCGACCCTGTCTGCACTGGCCCCACGTTGCCCAACCCCTTTTCTGGAAGTCTCCTGGTCCCTGAGACTCCGGGGTCTTCCCACGGTGTATGGAGGGCGGCTCCCTGATGGGGTGAGGGTGAGGTCGCTGTACCCAGAGCTTTTCCGCCCCCACGCCTTTTTCCTGGAAGTCCCACTTTGTCACCACCTAGAGGTGTCATCGCTCCGCCCCATTTCCGGACGCCTTAAAGGGGTCGGGTCTCCCGAGTCCTCCCAGGGGCATAGCCCACGGCGGCGTGACTCGCACACCTAGTGAGGGCTCTGAGGCTGCGGTGCGGGAGGCGGGGGATCTAGGTTCGAATCCTGGCCTTCTGGCGCGGGGCGGCCTGTTCTACTCTAGACTTGGCCTCAGTTTTCCCCGCCTGGAAAGTGGGGACTGGCCCTGAGTCCTCGCTCTGAAGCGGACGCTCCGAAAGAAGAGAACCTGGGCGCGGGAGGGGGAGGGGCCGCTTCACCTGCCGTTCGCTGATTCCGGCCCGCCCTGCCCCGCGATGACCGCCCGCATCCTCGTCCTGATGATGCTCCTCGCCGTCTCCGCCCCAGGGGACCCGGACTCCGAGGGCAGGTGAGAGGCCAGCGGCAGCCGGGACAGGACGGGAAAGACCGTCAGGGGCGCGCGCCCTCTTCCGGTCACGGTTTTCCGCGTCTGTGGAATGGGCAGGAGATCAGTAAGCGCGCCCCGCTGGTCTCGGGAGTTCTGGGGGCCCTTCCCCACCACGCCTCCTTTCTCGACTCTGTTCGAACCCGGCCTTCTCCCACGCTCCCTCCCCAGGCGGCCCTGGCAGCAGGTCGCCCAGCACCGTGGGCGCCTCTGTTCCCTGGGCACGTGCCAGACGCACCGCCTGCCGGAGATCATATACTGGCTCCGCTCTGCCTCCACCAAGGAGCCCTCGGGGAAGGCCGGCCGCAAGCCCCAGGACCCCCACAGCTACGGGCGCCGGCGGAGGCGCGAGGTGAAAGCCCGGCTCCGTCTCCAGGACCACCGCCTGCAGCAGGGGGCCCGGCGGAGCGCCCGGATCGCTGGGTGACCTCGGGCACGTCTCCTTGCCTGGCTTCAGTCTGCCCATCTGTGTATTGGGGTTACTACCCCAATTTTCCCCTCTAACCCCACCCTCTGAGAGTGTCTTCCTCACCCCTCCCCTGGCTGTGACTGGGCTGGACCCAGGGGCACACCGGACCCAGCCTGGACAAAGAATACTGGCGTCCCGAGGCGAATAAAACAAGAGTCGTGCGTTTCGGTCTCTGCTTGTCTGTGACCATTTCGGCCTCTCAGTGTGGGCCAGTCTCTAACACACTCTCCCTCTCCTTTATCCACGCTCCTTCTCCCTCACGGAAGTCCCTCTGACTGTCTAACTTGCCGCTGTAGCGCCTCCGTCGTGCCCGCTCAATCCGTGCGCCTTCCGTGGGTGGCTTTGGTGGGGCGGCCGGGCCCAGAGCATCCTTCCTCCCTCCCCAGCGAGAAGGGACTGAGATTCGCTCCTACACCCTCCGCGCGTGACGTTGCGCTGCATCCAGAAGTGGGCTGTGGGTCCAAACAGCCTCGCCCCTCGCAGAGAAAGGAGAGCAAGAGACAAAGAGCGGAGTGGGGAGCCCAAGAACCCGGGGTTCGGACCAGCTGCGCGGAACAGGGGAGGCTCAATGGTGGAGACTCGGGACGGTTAAAAGAAGATTGAGGGCCGGAGATCGAACCGAGGGAGGGGATTGGACGCCGTGGTTCGAAGGGGGCGGGGATAGAACGCGGGGATTGGAAGGGGCGGGGACAGGACACGGATTGGAAGGGGCAGGCACAGAAGGCCGAAATTGGAAGGGGGCGGGGATAAAATGAGGGACCTGAATAGGCGGCGAGGCACGCGCGAGACAGAAATCGGGATTTCTGGGTGTCGGCGATCGGGGTGGGTAGGATTCCGCAGGCCTCTCTACCAAGTCGTGGACTCATCCCCCTGGGACTGGACATATGCGAGCAGGAGATTTGGGTCCGGTGCTCAAAATCCGGGGGCGGGGGTGTACTCGGGTTTGGTACCTAGGATCCCATCGGCGGACCCCTGACTCAGCGTGGTAAGTACTGGACCGCAGGGGCCTGAGATCCCTTCCCTCCCAAAGCCCCAGTGCCCCTCTCGCAGGGACTGGAGGCCTGGGTCTCGGGTTGGGCGGTCGGGCCTCTCCATCACCTGTCCTCGACGCTCGCCTCCGCTCCCAGCCTCAGCATCCCGGCTGCGAGGCATGCGCATTAGGGTGCTTCCTCCCCCATCCCCTCCAGCCCCGGGCGGGGGGAGGGGACGCCGGGCCACTCTAGAGCGGATAAATCTGTAGACACCCCTCACCGCCCACCCCCGCCTTGGACTGGGAAGCGGAAATGGGGTGGGCTACGTCAGTATCTGGCAGGTGTTTATCTCATATGGGTATAAAACCAATGTTTTTCTCGAGACCCTGCAGCTCATCCTGGACCAGTTTCCCTCCCCAACCCCCAATCTTGAAAGTCCTTTATTGGTGGGGACACTGCCCACGCACCACGTCTTCGCAGAGTAGGTACGGGGTTAACGCGAGCTGTCCCTCTTGCCTCTCTATGTGTTCACAGAGGTCCCCATCTGACGCCTCTCCGCCGACCAGGACCCTCAGGACCCCCTCACGACCCCACGCGTGCTTAGGGAAGGGTGAGCCAGGTCCTGTAGTCCTGGGTCTGCGCGAGGAGAGGGCTGGGAGCCCGGATTCTTAGGTCCTGGGGGAGAAGAGTTTTGGGGTCCGGAGTCGTGAGTCTGAGGGAGGAGGGGCTGGGGGCCCGGACTCCTGGGTTTGAGGAGGAGGGGCTGGAGGCCTGGAGAAGAACAGAGCCCGGAGAATGAGCCTCTGTCCTTCTCCCAGGCTCTAGAGCGACATGGCTGAAGCGCACCAGGCCGTGGGCTTCCGATCCTCGCTGACCTCGGATGGGGCGGAAGTGGAGCTCAGTGCCCCTGTGTTGCAGGAGATCTACCTCTCTGGCCTGCGCTCTTGGAAAAGGCATCTCTTACGTTTCTGGGTGAGGAGGGCTGCTGGTTGGTTTCCTTCCGGGAATCCAGTTTCCTGCTTCCGGGATGTCTTAGGCCCACTTCCGGTATTCGTGTGGGTCTGCTTCTGGGAGCCTATCACCCCTTTCTGGTAACTTTAATGTCCACTCCCAGGATCCCTTTACCTATTTCTCTGTGGCTCACTTTTGGGATCTGCAAACTCAGCTACGGAGAACTCTCTTCATCTCTTACACCCAGGAGGGCACCTGGCCCCCCCCCACAACTGCCCCCTTTCCAGTTTCTAGAACTCCATCTCCTTCCTTCATGGCACGCTTCTCACCTTTCTCTTTCATCTCCAGCTTCTAAACAAGGTGCTCCCTGCTCCAGAACCCCTATGCTCCCATGACCGCATCAAGATCTTGGGTGGCCACACCCCAATCCTGAAGGTAGCTCTTGCACACTGGGCCTGCGATCCCTTCCTCCTGCTCCTGAACCCCCAGTATCCCTCTCCAGCACTAACCCCCACATATCTAGAATGCCCATGCCCAACAGACAGCTTGAGGTCCCTGGTTCTAGAACTCTGGCACTATACAGTCTTCCTGCGTGTGGCATCCTCTGTCTGTGAACTGGGGCCTTGAACCTGTGGGGTCAGCCAGGACTGAATTTGAATCCTGGCTCCACCGCTTAGTGTCTGTGTGGTCTTGGGCAAGCGCCCCTCTTTGAATCACAGTCCCTCTCACACCATGGAAAACGTGGGTGCTAATAGCACCTCCCTCTCACGATAGCCTTGAAGATTAAATTAATTCTTATGTAGAAGCACTGAGCAATGTCCCTGGCCCAGAGCACATGCTAAGCATTAGTTTTCTTTTTTGAGACAGAGTCTGGCTCTGTTGCCCTGGCTAGAGTGCTGTGGCGTCAGCCTAGCTCACAAGAACCTCAAACCCCTGGGCTCAAGCGATCCTACTGCCTCAGCCTCCCGAGTAGCTGGGACCACAGGCATGCGCCACCATGCCCGGATAATTTTTTCTCTATATATATTTTTAGTTGTCCAGATAATTTCTTTCTATTTTTAGTAGAGACGGGGTCTTGCTCTTGCTCAGGCTGGTCTCAAACTCCCGACCTTGAGCGATCCACCCGCCTCGGCCTCCCAGAGTGCTGGGATTACAGGTGTGAGCCACCGCGCCCGGCCAAGCATTAGGTTTTGATAATGTTGTTCTTCATTCATTTATTCACCAAATATCTCTGGAACATCCATTAAGGGCCTGGCGCTATTTGGGGCACTGGGACACGGCAGAGATCAGGACAGACAGAATCCTGCCCTCGGGGAGCTCTCCTTTGAGTTGGGGGAGAAGGCAAAAGGAAGATAGATAAAGTATGGAGTATGGTGACACTTCATAGCATCGTCTCATGTAGATGGTGACATGTGCTATGGTGAACAATCAAGCAGGGGGTGAAAGGGATGTGGGGGGGTTGCAGTTAAATAAGGTGTGATCCAGGGAGATCTCTTGACACTGAGGCATTTGAACAGGGTGGACCACGTCCCTAAGGTCACACTGGTGGTTAAATCTGTTTACTTTGTAAATAGCGATTACCCTGAGCCCCCAAAGAGTCTTCTCAGCCGTTCCCCTGGGACCCCCTGGCCTTAGGCCAATCCAGCAACTCCAGTGTTAACATGTGGCCATGCTCTTCCTATGGTTAAATACATACATACACAGATACATACATACATATATGTACACACATACACAGAGATACGATAAAATTACATACAGAAAAATGCACAGCCACGGCACTCTATCCCAGGCAACACAGTGAGACTCTGTCTCAAAAAAAAAAAGAAAAATGCACAGGTTTTAATGCACAGGTTTAAAATACAGTACTTGTATTTTGACAATACCCATGTAACCAACTCCTGATCAAGACAGCCACCATTCTAGAATGTTCCTTCCAGCCCCTTTTCAGCCAGCCTCCTCATCCCACTGCAAGGCAACCACTGTCCTGATTCCTATCCTTGTGGACTGAGTCTTCCTGGTGTTCCACTGGCGAATATTTTGACTGTCATCCCTGCATCTAAGTCAAGACCTGAACCACGTTTCAGAGTCAGATGTTCCCTCTGCCCAACAGCCCCAGCAGACCCTTACATTAGACTTAACATCATAAATCATGTTAGGTTGTATTTAGTGTGTCCCAGGCTCTAAACTGACTAAGCCCTTTAAATCTGTTGCTCATCTGATCTTCACCACAGCTCTCTAAGTTAAACCTCTTGTTGGTTCCATGTGATAGAGGAAGAAACTGAGGCCCAGAGAGGTGCTTTCATTTCCCCAATGTCACGCAGCGGCTAAGATGCAGAATTAGAAGAAGAGCCAGCATGGGCAGTCTGGACCCATGCTCCTGCGCATTAACCTGGGCTGTTTTTCTAGAATGTAGTCCCAGTGCTGACGTCAGAGGCTGTTTCGAATAACCTCCAGTGGATCACTTGGGCCAAGCATGTGGCACGGCATCAGTACTTAGTGGGTTGTTCATCATCAGGAGGTCAGAGTGTCCCATGAAATGGTTTTCACGTGAACATGAAATTCAGACACAGCAAACCCCAGAGTAGGGTACCTTGAAGTACGCCCTGCTTGGTTAGGGTCACAAGACAGCTAGGAGGTTTGAGTGGCTGATAGTGGAACCCTGGAGCCAGGTGACCTGGGTTCAAATCCCAGCTCCACCACTTCCTGGTGGCAACCTTTAACTTCCTCTTTCCTCAGTTTCTTCACCTGGGTGATGGGGATACTAGTAATTGCTCCCTCACCAGGGTTGCAGGGGAATGAAGGAGTTTTTTTTTTTTTTTTTTTGAGACAGAATCTTGCTATGTCGCCCAGGCTAGAGTGTAATGGCGTCATCATAGCTTGCAGCAACCTCAAACTCCTGGGCTCAAGCAATCCTCCTGCCTCAGCCTTCTGAGTAGCTGGGACTACAGGCGCGAGCCACCATGCCTGGCTAATTTTTCTGTTTTTAGTAGACACAGGGTCTCACTCTTGCTCAGGCTGGTCTGGAACTCCTGACCTTGAGCGATCCTCCCGCCTTGGCCTCCCAGAGTGCTAGGATTACAGGCGTGAGCCACTGCGCCCGGCCAGCCCCTGCTCTATTGCAGTCCAGAGCACCAGGCAGAAGAACTGACAGCCACTTTTAAAAAAATTCAACAACAAAAATAATCATCTTCACCAGTAACCTTTTCCTGCCAAAGCAAAGAAAGAATGTCAGGTCATAAATTCCCAAAAAGAAGTAAAGTAGCGATAGAAGGGACCATCGTTACATTTATCGAGTGCCTACTGTGTGCGTGGCTCTGAGATGTACAATCCACCCCTACTGTCCAGCCCTCTTCTTTGCTTTATTTTTCTGCATAGCACCTATCACCATGTGACTAAACCCTTCACTTATGTAGGTATCGCCTGTTTTCCCCAGGACGGCAGAGAGTCTTGTCACAGCTGTGAGCCCGCAGTAAGCATTTGTAGGATGATATTTTCTCATTAAGCCCTCGTGACAGCCCTATGAGCCAAGTACTAGGGATATTTCCATTCTACAGATGAGGAAACTGAGGCATAGAGGGGTGAGGTCACTTGCTTGAGGTCACCCAGCAAGTAAGTGACAGAGCAGATATTTGAGCCCATAGGGTGGGACTCCACAGCCCAAGTTCTAAACCGTGACCTCAGAGGCCACCCTGTTCATTACACGTGGGAAGGGGAAGGGAGAACGTGATTTCTTGAGCTCCAGTGGTGACAACCCAACCAATAGTGGCTCTTACCCTGTCTTAACCATGCTCCCTGTGCGACCTCGAACCCAAGTGTCTTCATTTGTAAAACGAGATCATCTTAGTGCTTATGTCACGGGGTTGTTGGGAGGATCTAAAGAGTTAGTCCTTGTAAATGGTACCTGGGATGTAGTAAGTGCTCATTAAATGTTAGTTCCATCTCTCACACTTCCCTGGGGTCTGGTTCGCAACCCAGAGCTTTCATTCATTCTTCATTCATTCCATGACCAGGTAGAAGGCTTTCTGAGCTCCGGACCCTGCTGTGTGCAGGAAATCATTTTGCCTTCTTGACAGGCTCACCTGTGAGGTCCTGCCTGTGAGTATCCTCTTCCAGGATGCCCTCCCTGGTGCCCTCGAGCTGTAACGCGCCACCGCAAGTCTCTTCCTGTTTCTTGTCCTACCGCCATTAACACGTGCTTCCTTCCGGACTGACCTCCCTGCGGGCAGGACCGGGATCTGTCTGTTCCCCACCGGGATCCTGAGCACCCAGCTCAGGGCTCAGTACTCACTGGGTGCTGAATAAATATCTGAGAATGGCATACAGCAAGTGCTCAGGGGAGGGGGAAGGCAAAGGACTGAATGGATGCCTTTTCCTCCCCGCAGAATGACTTTCTCACTGGTGTGTTCCCTGCGAGCCCCCTCAGCTGGCTCTTCCTCTTCAGCACAATCCAGCTCTCCTGGTTCCTCCAGCTGGACCCTTCTTTAGGACTGATGGAGAAGATCAAAGAGTTGCTGCCAGATTGGTGAGGTCCCCCATTTCAGCTCAGTAACCCCTTAATCCCTCTCCTTCCACCCAGTAAGTGTGGTGTGCCTGCTAAAGAAAAGTAACCTCTAAGACTTACTTTCGGTCAGATCAATAAAGGTACAGCATCAAGAAAAAGGAGGTGATTCTCTCTTCTCTGTGCACATTTTCTTTTCTTTTTTTTCCCCAAGAGGTGAGGTCTCACTCTGTTTGTTGTCCATGCTGGAGTGTTGTGACATCATCATAGGGCACTGCAGCCTCAAACTGCTGGGCTCAAGTGATCCTCTCACCTCATTCTCCTGAATAGCTGGGACTACAGACACACACCACTGTGCCTGGCTAATTTTTAAATTGTTTATAGAGATGGGATCTCACTATATTGCCCAGGCTCATCTTGAGCTACTGGCCTCAAGCAATCCTCCCACCTCGGCATCTCGAAGTGCTGGATTATAGGCATGAGACACCGCACCTGGTCTCCCTGAACGTTTTCTATCCTGGCTGCTTCTTGTTAAGAAGAATGGGGACAAACTAGAAAATGTTCAGATATGGTTATAAATACTAACAAAAGTATGAGTTTTGCCAGTCTCTAATTTTACAGTCTTAGGCAAGAGACTTCACCAATCTTGGTTATGAAGGCCTTCATCTGTAAAATGGGATAATAATATTAATAATCGCTTCTTAGGGTGGCTGGAAGAATTAATCAAAATCATGCATGTGAAACACTCAGTACGTGCCTGGAGATTACTAAATGGGAGTGGTTGTGTTATTATTATTGTCATTACTGTCATCTTCAGGAAGGGTTTGAAAACCAGGTGCTTGTAAAGTGGCTGGTTCTAGTTCTTGGGTTAGTTCTTGGGTTCTAGTTCTTGGGTTAGTTCTTGGGTTCTAGTTCTTCTCCTAGGGAAGAAGGTTCAGATTTTGTGCAAATGGTTCCAAAGGGCAGACCTGGGGTCAGATGTAGAAATGTCCAGAAAACTCAGATTTACGCAGTCTACAGAGGGCAAGTGACTCGCCCACATCCTCCGCGTGACATTTGCTCAAATGTCTGACTGCTACTTTGCAGCCAAAAGTTGATTTAGTGTAGCTTTAGATCAGGTTTTCCCAAACTTGAGCTGGTATTGGAATCACCTGGAGGGGTTGCTAAAACACGGGTTCTTGGACCCCACCCCAAGAGATTCTGTCTCTATAGGTCTGGGTGGGGCCCAGGAATATGTATTTCCAACAAGCTCCCAGGGGGTGGTTCTGCGGCTGGTCCAGAGACCACACTTCGAGAACTGCTACCTTAGAGTATAATTTGATTTCTGGGAGGGAAGTGTCCCTTCAATAGAAATAATGGCCTCCACTTATTAAGCACCTACCAATTCTGTGGAAAGTCATTTTAGAAGCTTCCTGCCGACACACGGGCCCGGGGTGGGGGATATGGGGGTGCGTGACAGAGGTTCACATCTGTGTTATACATGAGGAAGTGGACTTCTCTGACTCCAGTTCTGCAAGATGTGCCTCCAACAGCCCGAAGGCCAGTGCAGGGGCTGGGCGAGTTCGGAGGCGGGGAGACCCAGGCCCAGCCTCTCTTTCTGTCCTCTCAGGGGTGCGCGGCACCACGGGCTCCGGGGCGTCCTGGCAGCCGCTCTGTTTGCCTCGTGTTTGTGGGGAGCCCTGATCTTCACGCTCCACGTGGCCCTGAGACTGCTTCTGTCCTACCACGGCTGGCTTCTTGAACCGCACGGAGCCATGTCCTCACCCACCAAGACCTGGCTGGTATGTGAGCGGCAGAGCCCCGCTCGGGCTCTCCCGGCACCCGCCTCTCGGTCCCGCGTCTGCATCTTCGCTTCCCTCTGTCTGCGTCTCTGTCCTCCTCTCTCAGGGTCTCTTTCCCGCTTTCTAGGTCTCTGTGCCCCCTCTTCGGGTCTATGTCCCTTCCTCTCTGTGGTTTGCCCTACCCAGGCACCCTGGTCCCCCGCCCCGGCGAGGGGTTCAGTGACCCAGTACCTCCCCGCTTTCTCCCAGGCCCTGGTCCGCATCTTCTCTGGCCGCCACCCGATGCTCTTCAGTTACCAGCGCTCCCTGCCGCGCCAGCCGGTGCCTTCGGTGCAGGACACCGTGCGCAAGGTGGGCCCGGTCGCTCGGGGATGGGGCGGGAGGCGGGCCGGGGGCGTAACCTGCCCTCTTCTCGGTCCTCCCCCTTCAGTACTTGGAGTCTGTCCGGCCCGTCCTCTCCGACGAGGACTTCGACTGGACGGCGGTCCTGGCGCAGGAATTCCTGAGGCTGCAGGCGTCGCTGCTGCAGTGGCACCTGCGGCTCAAGTCCTGGTGGGCGTCCAATTATGTGAGTCCCGCCGCGCCGCCGAGGCCCCGCGTGGGGATCAAAGGTTCTGAGCCTGCCTCCTAGCCCCGCCCACGCCCCGCCCACGCCCCGCCCACAGCCCCCAGGTCCTGCCGCGATTGGAGCCCGCCCCGGACGTGCCTACACCCTGAGCCCCGCCCCCAGAGTATTTCCCCAACTCCCTCCGCTGAAGGGTACTCCCCCCAGCGGGCTTCTATTCTGCCTTCAGGGGCTAGGCCCTTGATTGCACTCTGCGTTGAGCTCCTGGGGAAACCAAGGCACAGAGCGAGTCAGCGATTGACCCAAATCAAGGCTTGCCGGCCGCGCATTCTGTAGGAAGCCATAAGTAGCATGTGATGAGATGGCAGGGAAGAGACAGGTGGGGTGGTGGGAGTAGGGGGTGGATGAGAGGATCAGGGCTCCCAGGAGGGAGAGCCTTGAAGGTTGGAGAGAAGTTGAACCTGTCAGATTGGTAGGAAGGGCAGGAGAGAGAGGGAGATGGGGAGAGTCTGGGGCAGAGCCCCAAAGGGCAGCAGCAAGGGAGGGGCAGTCTGCCAAACTGCACGAAGGGGACTGAAGTGTCTGGAGAGGCAGGAGGGAATCTAGGCTTTGGTATTCGGGTTAAAAAAATTTTTTTTCCTTCATGCTCTTGTGCCAGATTCTGCTCTTAAAAAAATACACAGGCCAGGCGCGGTGGCTCACGCCTGTAACCCTAGCACTCTGGGAGGCCGGGGCGGGTGGATCGCTCAAGGTCAGGAGTTCGAGACCAGCCTGAGCAAGAGCGAG